CTCTCTCTCTCTCATTCTCTCTCTCAAATAAATAAATAAATAAAATCTTTAAAAAAAAAAAAAAAAAGACGCTGCTCACAATCTGCTAAGCCGGTAAGAATTCACTATCAACATACCACTGGGTATAACCATAAAATGGCACTAATAACATAGGATACCTATAAAACCCTGATCCGAGACTTCCGTGTCATCCTCAGAGGGTCATGAATTTATCTTCAGTACTTTAAAATTTCCTTCAGCTGGTGAATGTGCTGCTGATTAGCCATTTTCCCAACGCCACCTTTCTTCAAGCCCCATTCACACCACATGCCTGACAAAGACAGCGGTTCTTCCCGGCACACCAAATATATGCCAAAATTATAAAAGTGCTGAGTCCCACCACATGAGGACTTGCTACCCATGATACCAGTGATACCAATCAATGACAACTCAACAAATTCTCTCAAAAATCTTCATTGGCCTGAATGCCACCATTTCTGGCATCCTGGGTGTGGGGCAGTCACGGCAGCAGCTAAATGGGAAGCTTCAGTGTCTCCTGTGGTCTGAGGAGACACACTCTTGTGCGATCTTCCAAAAGAGCTTTTGGGAATGAAGGAAGAACCTCTCAGTGGGCTGCCTTACAGGAGTCTCCATGTCACTAAGCCAATGACTGTCCAAAGGAGGTTTATGAAGAGAAAACTTGAAAAATTTCAGCCTCCTCATTTGGAATGGAGGAAAGAAAAGAACTCAGAATGAGATGTCCACAATTGGATTGTAACTTTTTCTTCAAGCGCTGCGTCCAGAAACTCACCCCAGGAGATTCTTATCCAGTGATATGAGGTCCTAGAATTGGGATTAAGAAATGCCCAGGCAGTTCCTCTAATCTGTGGTTAGAAACTATCAACTAGACCAGTGTTTCACAAACCCGGGGTGATTCTGCCCCCCAGGGGACATTTGGCAAGGTCTGGGGACATTTTGGGCTGTCAAAGCTTGGTGGGTGGGGTGGCGGGAGATACTACCAGCATCTAGTGGGTAGAGAGGCCAGGGATGCTAGTGAACATCCTACGATGCACAGGGCAGCCCCACACAAAGAATTATCAGTTCAGAATGTCAATAGTGACAAAATGGAGAAGCCCTGAACTAGATCAGGCCATGGCTCTATACCTCCCATATTACATCTATTCCTAGCAACAAAATCTCTGACAGTGAAATATGTTGTTGCAATGCATTATTTATTAATGATGAGATTTCTGTATAGATCAGAACATAAATCCTCACACCTTGTTTGTGCCAAGCAATAATCAGTATTACAGGAATAACAACCTGTGCCAAAGGAAATTTTAAAAGTTAACATAAATGGCATGAACTATTGTTCTGTCTACCTCAACTGTATAGGATTCTCTAGAGAATTATTTTTTAAATCACTTCTTTAAGTATAACCAAGTCATTCATACAAATTTAAATCTTTTTTATAATGATGTTTCTCTTCCACAGAAATGCCAATTTTCATTCATCTATTTTGTTGTGTTTCCTGTACTATTTTCTTCAGAAAAATATGCTTGGATTAAGTGAAGAATCTTCCAAGCAAAACTCTTAAAGTACTTAATGAATATGAAAAAAAAATCATATTCTGATTTTCTCATTTACCTTCTCTTTCTAATGTAAATGTTAATCCCTTCTAAAGTAATTGGGCCCACTTACGTTGCCAATCGCAATTAACACATACTCGAAATTTGCTACAAGTAAGGATGAGACACCAGCAAAGACAAGTATCTTGTATTCAGTAGACTTCTGTTTCCTGAAATTAAAATTTGAAATGACTGTAATTACTCATAAAGAAGGCTTGGTTGACCAAGCCAGTTTTCTTTGGAAACTGATGAAACGATAGACCAAATGGGAAGAAAATCATGAAGGCAAAACTCACTTGTCTTTTCAAGAAACTTCTAAGGACATTGTTCGGACTGTAACATAAAGTCCAACATGCATCAGGCTTCTCACTGAAGTATATAAATGCAATAGCCAAATGACTATAGCTAGCCTTTTTAACTTGACATTCAACATAAAAGAAAAGGAAGCTTTCTAGTAGGTGTTAGGAGAACGACAATTCAGGGTTGGCAATTTACTGGTGCGATAAAGGCACGTATGGCTGTTCAAGGCACTGTATGTAGGACAGATAGCAAATGAGCTTTCCTCTGGGCTCGTTCTTGGGAATAAACTGGTATTTGTTCAGATTCCAAAAGAAAGTCATCTCATTTACCCCTGATCTTGATTTAGAAGTTCTGGGGGCAGAGGGAATGGACAAGGGCAGGCCGACCAGTGCACTGCTTCTTGATGAGTTAGGCAACACCCATAAGACAAGGAAAACAAAAAAGTCCTACGAGGTTTTTTTCCTTTGTTCTTTTTTCTTTTTTTAAAGATTTATTTATTTATTTGAGAGAGAGAGAGAGAATGGGCAGGGGGGAGTGACAGAAGGAGAAGAAGAGGCAGACTCCCTGCTGAGCAGGGAGCCCGACGCAGGGCTCGATCCCAGGACCCTGAGATCATGACCTGAGCCGAAGGCAGATGCTTAACTGAATGAGCCACCCAGGCGCCCCGAGTCCTATGAGTTTTAAATGATGCCAAATGCAAAAGATCAGACGAATGGGCAGAAATTATTATTACTAGCCAACATTTGCAGTTACTGTGATCAAGGCATCATGGATTATGTCACTTACATCTTCACAACCACCCTATGAGGTAAATACTCTTACTTGATGCTTTACAGGTGAAGACGCTGAGGTTTGGAAAGGTTCAATAAACTGCCCATGGTCACAGAAGTGACAAGCAGTGGGACTGGGTTTTAGACCAGGCTAAAAGGTGCTAGAGCCCCTCTCTCTTAATCACTGTGCTACACCATTTCTCTAGAGACAGGGTGGCCCATGTGGGGAGGGTTTTGAGATCTGAGATAACAAAAGAAGAACCGACCCTGTGGATGGCTCAAAACAAAGCTGTCTTCCCAGCAAGTCCATCACACCAACACTGGTGCTTTCAGCCATACACAGACACCGATCTCGTGATTGCCCTTCTGTCACCTCCAGACACAAAAGGTATACTATCCTATGATATTAAACAGCTGGCTCATTTTATTCCAAGCAGTTGCTTCCCTTTATGCTTCAGTTAGAATAGCATTTGGCTATGCTCACAAGCCATTAGTACTCCTATGGGCTTAAAAGTGCCACATAAAATAAATTGATCATATTCGGGCATATGCTCTGAATAGGCAATGGGAAAACCAGCCTCTATATTGACCCACAGAGTTCCATTTCTAAGCTTGCTCAGTCCCTTTTACTGCCCTGTCATCAAGTTCTAATACGGTTTACAATTTACATGCTTATTTAGTTTAACAGCCTCTAATAACATTTGTTTTGGCTGCTTTTAGTTGATCCTGCACAAATGCCAACAGTCGCACCCTCTACCCTGCCCCAAATGTGAGGAATCTAGAGTTGCTTAATAAAACACAAGGCATGGAAATGCGTCTTGAAATGTTTCAAAACAGGTAAAGTCACTGACTAAGGAATTCGCAAACCAAAATGGGCACCGAGTAAAAACGAGAAGGAGCCAGCCCTTCAGGAAGGAAGGCTTTTTATTTTGTTGTTCCTGGTGTTGTTTGCAACAATATGTAAGTCTGACAAAGGGCTGAAAAAATCCAAGTGACAGCTCCTGACAAAGTCATCATGTTGACTGCGGAAAACCTAAAAATGCAGAATGTTTGGGAGGCAAAATTCTAAAGAGTGTGCCCTGAATCTGGCAATTAAGAAAGCATTCCATTCCAACTTGGAGTGGTGACAGGATCTTGACTGAGGTGACTTTCTGTAGAGTCCAGACACAAGGGCTATTCTTAGAACCACCAAAAAAAGCATGGAGCTGCCTAAAAATAATGATGACTCAACACCTAGAGGCTTCAATGATGTAATGTTGTCAAAGAACACCCTCTCTCTTCACAGGTTGCAGCTTTTAAAAGAAGCAAGCTCACAGCTCACCTTCTGAGGAAAGCAAAAATGTCACACACTGAAGGAGAAAATTAGGACACGTGGGTCACATATAGAATGTTCCATCCACGCGACGCAAGTCATGGTGGCCTGGTTCGCTTGCTGAGGAAGCCCCTGCCAGAGTCAGAGTCCGTTCTTTCCCTCTGCCACCCACACGCATCCATTGTCCTTTCAGAGCAGGGACTATGAGACAGGACAACAGTGCTGATTACACAAGAGGCAGGCTGAAAAATCTGTCCTCAGGACACCGCAGTCAGCACACTGCACTGCAAAGGATGGGTCCATTTGGGTCCAGACGGTTGTACAGGGGCAAGGTAGGGGCTCCGAACAAAAAACAAAAACATATCCCAGAGGCTTCTCCCTCCCCTCTTAGGTGTGCCCCTCCCCTGTGCTCCTATATATGTTGCGTCCATCTCCATCTCTCACTTCACCCGACTTGTGCTATCATTACCAGACCCCAGGAAACATAACGCTTCATGAGGGCTTGCACCTCATTCATTTTTATACTCTCAGTTGCCAAGAGCAATGTTTGGGACATGGTAGATATTCAATAATCGTTTAAAATTTGATGGTTGGATTGAGTAGACTGATGAATGATGTAGGAAAGATGTTAGGGTTCGAAGCTGATGGACAAGAAAGAATTCTTGAGATGTCTTTGGTGTAAAAAGGTAGTTTTGTGAAAGCACGGGGACAGGACCCGTGGTCAGAAAGAGCTGCACTGGGGTCATGAGGAGTGGCCCATTCTCCACCTTTAAGTTGGGAGGTGGTTAGGGCTAGCGGCATAAGCCCCCCAGGTATTTTGGAAACAAGGTTTCCAGGATCCTGAGGGGGCTAGCTATTTTTAGGAAAATGTCATTTATTATTGTGTAGTAAACCCTCAGTCATGAGACCTTTCAAACGTACATTGGTGGGTCATATGTTCGGAGGATGATTGCCAACATGTATCTTGGGGGTGGAGGGCTGAGATAAAGGAAGCTTCCAAAGGAATTTTTATATGTTAACGTAGACTTAGAGGATCCTGGGGGTTGGGCTAAGATTGTCTTTTGCCCTTAGCAAAGTATTAACATCGAGGCAGCTGAGTTCCTAGAGGAATGTCACTCTGCCTGTTTCAAGGACTTGTCAATAGGCTGTAAGTAGTAAAGAAATGTAACCATTTTTCTTCTGCCTTTATTTCTCAATTAATGCAGTACTCTCTCCTTGCCACCATACTAATGACTCACTGCCCTTCCCTGGGTATGTAGATTGTACATCTTAGGATTTATCTTAAGTATATCTTAGGATATAGTATCTTCTAGGGATGGGAATTCTTGATCAGAAAATAATCTTCAAAGATATAAATGTAGTAGTGATCTGAAGGGGCACCTGCACCCCAGTGTTTACAGCAGCAATGTCTACAACAGCCAAACTATGGAAAGAGATGAGATGTCCATTGACATGAATGAATAAAGAAGATGTGGTTCATATATGCAATGGAACATTACTCAGCCATCAGAAAGGATGAATACTTACCACTTACATCGACATGGATGGAACTGGAGGGGATTATGCTGACTGAAATAAGGCAATCGGAGAAAGACAATTATCATATGGCTTCACTCATATGTGGAATATAAGAAACAGCACAGAGGATCATAGGGGAAGGGTGGGAAAACTGATGGGAAGTCATCGGAGAGGGAGACAAACCATGAGAGACTCTTAACTATAGGAAACAAACTGAGGGTTACTGGAGGGGACATGGGTGGGGGGATGGGGTAACTGGGTGATGGGCGTTAAGGAGGGCACGTGATGTGATGAGCACTGAGTGTTATATGCAACTGATGGATTACTGAACTCTTTACATCTGAAACTAATAGGTTGGCTATTGAATTTTTTTAAAAAATGAAAAAAATAATCTTCAAGTCCAAAAGACTATAGAGCACTGTAGGAGATACTTGGGAACACGTTTCCCACACCACAGAGCCAATGTACTTGTTCTTAAGGCTTGCTCTGTTCAGCAAGAAACAAAGCCAGAGACAGGGGTTTGAAAGTCAAGGCTGGGGGCATTATAAATAGATACAATTAAAAAAAAAAAAAAAAAACTGCATCCTATTCAATACACTAGGTCTTACATGTAAGACTGTTTCTTTTTCAAAAAGGTGACCTTGTTGCAACAATGCTTTCATTGTGTATTTCTGGAATTCCCCAAAGTCAGGTCCCAATCACCAAAAGAAAACCATTCGTATTATTTTGTAGCGATTTTTCATTATGGTATATTGCTTTTAAATAAAAATTATTTTACTAGGGTTGGTTACCCCCCTGAATCACCATACAGGGCTCTAAGTTTGTTTCCACAACTTCAAACCCACCCTAAATATGAAGGCTTTGCAACTCACTCAAAACACTGCAAAGCATGCTATCAGGGATGCCCAAAGAGGAGTCCTTTTGAAAGAGACCGTAGTTGCTTAGATATGTAAACTCAGAGAAGTTCCTTTAGGGAAAAGACAACCCCAATGGAGCTGAGAGCCCACTTGTCAACAGGAAGCAGGGCGAGGGCAGGGCCAGGAAACCAAATGTAAACTCACCTTCCCCCCCTCTTTCTAAATCATGATGACCGCCCCCCCTGACTCCCACATTTAGAGCAGGAGTAGGGGTAGGAAGCAAATTTAATGAAAGCTAGTTATTGGTGCCAAATTTCTCACATTGAAGGCTCGTTCCTCTGAAAATTTTGAAAGAAACTATTTGAAGTGCTAAACTCCTTTCTTCTTCTATGCTCCTCGCAAAACCTCGAACTTCATCCACATAGCGATAAAGTTAAAATGCACTTCTGGTCCAAGTCTTACGACTGGAGAGAATGTAGTACCAAGGAGGAATATAATCTACTTGAAGGAAAGAATATAATTCTCAAGGATCAGGCATTGAAACCAGAGCACCTTCCCATGAAATAATTTGGCTCTAGGTGTTTAGGAGTCAAAACTAGACTGATAACGTTAGAAGCTCAAACTTAAATACACATATCCTCAAGTGGCTTATATGTGTTCATTTTCTCACCAATTAAATATCAGAATAACAGTCAGATTTAAGAGTCAAGCTGAAGTTATGTGACCAGGTGCTTTTCTAAACACACGAAGCCCACATGTGCAGTGGGAGGTGTTGTTAACTGTGATTGCCACGTAACATTTTTTTCCTTGAAGATATGTTAAAACCATTCTTCCAAACAATATGAATTACAGCAAAAAAATGTGTATATATTATTCTAAAAATATATACTCTAGTAATTTAGGTGATTTGTTTTTCTCTATTCATAGTGGCATTTAAAACGTCTGCAAAATATAACCTTAGTGACTCCTGGGCCAGTCACCTTATATATTTAAAGACACAATAGTTAAAGTTCTCATGAAGATATGAGCAAAGTTTGATGAGATAATTCAGAAAATGTTCTTGCACTATACCTATGCATAATTAGGTTACTCCAAAAGAAACAAAATATCAAGATCACTAAGAATAAATACAGTAGCCATGATTGAGTATTAATTTTTAATTTGAGCTTCCTGGAAGCTAAGAAAAGAAAACATGGAGGTTACATAATCTTCCTAGAGAGAAAAATACCAGTTCCCCAAAGTAAACAAAGTTTTCTCAGTACTATGCTCTGAAAGAAACAACACATGAACCTTATTTGGGGAACCCTGAACAACATGTATCCTAGAACAAACACAGAAACAGTTTTCATGTGGCAAAGGCTGAAATTAAACTTTCTTGAAACCCAAGGCTTTCCTAGCAAAGCATAACTTCATTAGGATTCTACAAAGAGTGGCTAAATCCAGCCTTTCTTCCTACCTCCACAGGACATGGGCCATCTGGGCTTTCCTTCCTGGAACCAGGGACAGAGAGTCACAGGCTGGGTAGTGGGGAGGGGGATGAAAGAGAATGGGGAAGGGAACCAATGTTTACCAAGAAGAGCTAGCGTTTTACCACTTCCTCTTACCCATTTCACCTCATTTCACCACATAACAAACCTATAAAGAAGGTATGGTCAACCCCATTTTATAAAAGAGAGAACAGAGATTCAGAGAAGTTAAGTCGGCCAAGATCACCTAACTAGTATGCAGTAGAGGCAGGATCTAGATCCAAAGTCCTCACACAGGGTGTAAGTGTGTAAGTGCCCACGTTATATCCAGGACCTCGGGGGAGGTTACAGGATGCAGAAGAATCATGATCTTGCTCTAGTGCCCTCAAGACACTTACAATCATCCAGCTGGAATGTAAGACCAGACCATCATATGAGGCAGTGTATTCTATGCATAAATAATAGACTAAATGACCTGGAGTTAGTAATAGCTGCAAATATGGGGGGAAATTGTAGGCTATGAACAAAGTACAAGATATGATATTTCAACATGTTTGATGAAAAATCTTACCCATGTCATGTATCTGATCAATGGGTCTCCACCTCAAAACACGGATGGAAGATTATGGTGCTTATAGTTCAAACAATGGTTATGTTGTATAATAAAACATCCCCAGCAAAACATATTACCAAAACATCACCAGAAATTGATCAAACTTAAAAAAAAAATAAACTACATAGGTTCTGTTTCTATATATCCATTCTTCTTAAAAGGCAGGAGAGTATGGTTGAATGCTGTATGCAAAATTATAAATGGGTAGGTAATTATAAATGAGTAGATAACAGTGAAGTATGAGCAATGCACTAATAACCCCACTCTCATACAGCAAAGATCATACGATATTAATGCGATTGGCTCTCAGCTCATCCATATCACACTGATCTCATCCATGGAGCTAAATGTCAGGCCTGCTGTGAAGGATACCTGGGTGTTGCTTTAAAGTTCACGTCCAAACTCTCTGACTTTCTCTGGTTATCTCTGAACAGGTCCAGAATTTCAGACCACTGACCTAAGAACAGAATCAAAGAAGTCCATAAAGGTAGGGTGAAGCCAATGCCATTTTTAGCTGGTGGAAGCAAGGAAAAATAATAATAAAGCCCCTTCCCCTGCTCTTCCCTGGGGCTCCAGCTCTGAAACTGCCTCTTAAAAAAAGAAAGTTCTTAGGCAACACAACTCAACAGTTATCCTCAAATTTATACATCCTTTTAAATTTGAAGTAACTGAAAATTGTCCATTATGACTAGGGCCACTGGAATGGTTGTGTCTTGTGTGCACTTTTCGGGGGCTCCTGGCCTGGGAAGAAAGTAGAGAATGAAACCGAGCCTGCCCTCCACTTGCGAAGCCACTCACAACTGCTCAGGGCTGCATCCACCCCTTCAGCTCAGGGAAAAGGGCACCATTTTTTCAAATTCACCCATCTTGGCCCAGGCAGTTATGTCCTAAGATTACTTCTGCCCACAGGGGCACCTTCTCATCATTCACAGGGTCACTGTATAAGCTAGCCGCAGCTCTGATGAAAACCATCTGAAATGGTTTCCAAGTACCTTCGTTTTTCCAAGAAGGGAAAAAAGCTTCCTGTCCCTCTTTAATATTATCCTGGACTAATTGGAACATGGCAGCCATTTTTCCCAGGTGCCATCAAGAATATATGCTCACCTGCTTTTTGGCACAGAAACCAAATACTCTCAACTCTGTATGCATCAGGCTTAATTCTTTCCACTGCCACAATTATTTTCAGGTAGTTAAGTGGGGCATTTAGAGTGGCTTGTCAGACACTCGAGCCCCAGGGGGTCACTCAGTGCTGTGGAAAAGCAAGGCACTAAATATGCCTCTGGAATATTTCAGTCACTTTAGGAAAGGTTAAGGTTCCGGGGAATGTCCTACAGCAGCTTTCAAATCTGCCCCACGCTGGGCCGCTCATCTGGCAGGTGCCCCCAAGTGATTAGCGGTGACTAATTATGGTTCCCAGTCATCGTCCAGAGAAAAGACAAAACGGGAATAACTTAACTGAGTACAATGATACTCACTGTCTTTTTTACAATTTAGATCTTCTTTAACCAACAAACCTATTTGTAAATGCCACTTTCACCTATCAAGGATGAATAGCACAAGAAAAACAGTGAAACTTGTAAGTATTCCTTAAATACGTGGTAGCTAATTTAACTGTTAACTGCTTTAGTATTTAAAACAAATGCTCAGTTATCATTTTCCCACCCTTAGGTCACTATAGACTACTTCATTTTTTATTTTTTCAACGTATCTTCAGCGACGCTTAAACTACAATAAATCATCTTCTTGTTTATCCTTTGCTACACATTTACAACCGAACTGATTTGGACTCAACCAACGCATTTACGTTTACCTTGAGTCTTGCTATTAAATTACCTGAGTTCTCTGCCTTATATTCTTTTACTTGAATGTTCATGCTGGTGGATGGCCAAATTTATTTCTAGAACCTGTTTTCCATAGTAGAGTTTAGAAATGGTGAGGTATGGTGGGTAATGAACTAGAATTAAAGGTCAAGAGGACTTGTGCTTACTGTATCTAAGTTACACTCTTAAGAATAAACCCCCAACTCCCAGTGGTTTAAAGCAACAAAGGCTTTTTTTTTTTTTTTTTCTTGTCATGTTACATGTTCCTCATGGGTTGGCCAGGACTCCGCTCTGTGTCATCGCTCTCCTCACCCCACAACCCAAACTGCCTGAGCAGGCACCACCTGGCACAATGCCAGTTGCCCCAGCAGCGTGAAAAGAACATTCTTCAGGGTCAAACATTCGTAATTAAATGCTTGACCTGGAAGTGATGGGTCACTTCTGCTTACACATTGGGCAGAACCAGGCAGAGGGGTCCAGGGAAGACAACTCTGATACAGGCTCAGGAGGTAGAGAAGCAGAAAGACACCACCCTTATTGGGTAGTCGTGACAATTAAAGGCTTTACTGTTTGTAAAGCATCTGGAAGAGCACCTGGCACCTTGCTATATGCTACATAAATATTTGCTGCTATTATTGCTGATTATTATTATTATTAAACTGAATAAATTCATCATTTTGGAGGCCATTATCAAGTCAGGCTTCTCCTTACTGAATTGCATTTGACTAAATGTTTCATGGTAGTTGTTTCCCTGTTCTCCTTTACCTACTAGTGAATGCCAATATCCCATTGAGCAAACCCTCACCTATCTTTAGAACAGATGCAGGGCAGCTCCCAGGATATCCCTCCAGCCTCACCTGTCTCAAGATGAGTCTCTGTAGTCCAGCTGGATCCAGAAAGGCAAACCCAGGGGAGCATGCCAAAGGGAAATGAACCCTAGTAGCTTTTAGGTGTTGCACGCTGTGAAGACCCCAGTTCTAAATGTGCTTCCTACAAAAATATTTATGTTTCAAGCTGTAGCATGCAAACAGCAATCTGCATTTATTTGTTGCAGATGCCAATTTCCTCCAGCTCCAGTTCTCTTCTGTGTTATATAAACAAATCTCAACCATCTGGACCACAACAAGCCACTCTGAAGTATGTGCTCACTCCTTGCAAAAAGCATCAAATCAAAATATAATCTCACAGAATTCTGCCTAACAGAAAATTGGAGTGAACAATTTTCACAAAGCAGTTTTTAAAATGTTCTTTAGGTGTCAGAATAGGATAAACAGGATAGCAAAAAGGAACTTATCAGAATATTTATTACTTTGATAAACAGAAACAAGCATAATAAGATCATATCCTGTGGTGTTACCTATATTAATAGTCCCATTTAGTGGCTTCCAAATTAGTTCAAAAAGGAGAAGAGCTCAGAAAAATCATCTCAGACAGGTGGGAAGACAGAGAAGAGATTGGTGCAAGACTCATTCATGATAGTCAGAAAGCAAAAGCTTAAATTCCTACCCAGCTAAGGAAGTTAAAAATGTATGCTTTATAATAACTGCAAGAAACAATCTAAACTATAGTCCATCAATATCAAGAAACAATGAACCAGAAGTAGACTGTGCCAAGAAAGAAAGGACTCTGCCCTAACAAGTTCTATATGTTGCCAGCTATCCACCTGGACCTCTGCAATGAATACTAAGCATCATTTCCAATGCCTTGTCCCCCTGGTATAACTTCAGGCTGCTAAGTGCATCTTCCCAAGGCCAAATATTTTAGAACATCACCATGGCCATCTTTGTCCACGGGCAAATGCAGGAGTGCTAGAAATGCTTCTTGTTCCTTTTCCCTCCACCTAAAAATATCTCTTCACCAACTTAGCATGGTGCCTAAAATGTCCACCCTTTGGGAAAGATAATGATCATCAGACTTTGTGAGTTAGATTCATGAACTTTGAACATTGTGGAAAGAATTTCCTGAGAGATTGGCATACAAAACAAATGAGTTTTGTTAAGATACTGAAAAACAATGGAGGAAAAAGGAAGATTATAAAGGTCTAGAACTTAAAAATGTGCAGGGAAAATGAGGGGTCCCAAGCTCCCCAAATACATTTTTCCAGTGTCCCATGATCATGCCTCCTTGCTATTGTCAACTCATTTGGTATCTGATCATCTTGCTTTGTCATCCTTAACCATATATATATATAGTTAGTACACAGAGTTGAATCAAAACTGAATCTAGATCAGATTATTTGATATCCCATAGACTTTCCTCAAACGGGAGCCATAAAATCATTCAGGGTAGAAGACTTTCTATCTGATTTAATAAGTCTAATTATGTAGACATTGGCCAATTATAAAATTCACCTCCTTGGCTATAAAAACGTGGTCTAAATAATTTGAAACTGGCTCCGTTGAACTACATCTTGTTGATTTCAACTCAGTATTTTATCGAGGTCATTTTAAAACCAAATACTTTGGTCAAGCTGCAATGTACCAACTTTGTATACAAATTAAATGAGAGTATTCTGTAATCCATGATTCAATCACAGATCAGAGTATCAGAATAGATGCGGGAACTCTCCCCAAGCTTCTGTCTTCCTATATAACCAATCCTGGTTCAGTAGATCAGTCATGCTTGAGCAGCACTCCAGAATGGGATAAGCTCTCCCTAGGTCTTACTGTTTCAATCTACCAGGAAGTATTTAATCAGGAAAGAATCAAAATCCTCTTTTGGCCTCTAAGGAAAATCCTTCTAATTGTTGATTAATTTAGATAAACAGATGATAGAATGAGAAAACACAGAATCTTATTTCATAGTTAATGTCAGGCAGATTTCAGGGGGGAAATTACTGTCTCTGAGTAAATTATAATCTGTGTTATAAACTGGTTATAATCCAAGAGCAAAATTCTCAGTTTCTTTCAAAGAGATCATGTGCCATTTTCTTACTCCAAATAGTCAAGGGATCACAACACTGGAGGTTCTAATCACATCTAAGGCCTTGGACTTCAAGCTATTCTTAGCCTATCATTTTAATGTTCAACTCCAAAGTAATATCAATATAAAATTATCTTTATAATTCCTAATCCTCCAGGCTATCAGAATTGCTTACAAAACCAATAAAATCCAGGTTAAAAAAAAAAAAAAAAAGACTTCCAGTAATCGTTTTCAGGCAAAGGAGTTTGGAACGTTCAGCAATTGGCAAAATCAGCCCAAGTTTGTGAAATGACAATCATAAATCCTACTCTTACATCTCACACAGAGGCATATACTTTAGGTTAGGAAAAAAGGCCCTTCCCCCCAAAAGATGTTGCCCATGTTTTATAATATACTATAATAGTGGGTGTTTGCAATTAGAAATCCACATCCACAGGGAAGGTTTGATCTATTCAGAGACCCCACTAAAAAGGTCAGAGAAATCTAAAATAATGCATTTAAAAAGATCTCCCAGCAGAATATTTAACTCTGATTTCCAAGAATACTTACACTGAATCAAGTTTGTTTCTTAAAATGAGAAACTTCATTTTCTGGAAAATACTTGTACACAGACAACCTCATTGCCCAATCATTTCAAATCAACAACTTTTCCTCAAATTCTTACCACACACTTAACAATTCCACCCTGTGTGGTGTCACTGAGCAAAGCAAGACTCAGATGACCGGCCAACTTACCTTTCTAATAACACCTGTGGGACTCAGCTCACAGCTATGTTTGGAACATTCGCCAAACCGCAGGAGGGGTAGGGGTACAAGAGAGCTTGTGCCATTTTGAGAAAGGCAAATCATGGTTTTGGCAGAATAGGAAAAAATAACTTTTTTAAACAACATCTGCTTCCTACCCCAAGGGGTATCTCCTGCAATCGCTATTCCTAATACCACTTGCTCTGTTAGATAGGCCAGTGAGTCTCTGAGGATGAGATCTAATTCAACATCCACAACCTTGTTACAGTTAGTTGATAACAGAGAAGTTTTTCTCCTCCTGCTATGCATGCCAAGAATAGAGCCAACCACACATTTTCCAAAACTTCAAAACATCAATCACAAATAAGCCATGGAAATATTTTGGGATAATGCCACATCTCCCCATGATTTGGAGCAAAAAAGGCTCATTACCTTGCTCTCTTCTCCTTCAAACACTGACTGGTGAACGTTGCACGCAAACAATGAGTTGGGGAGGTCGTTGAAGTCAGTGATTGCTTGAAAGGCTTCCTCTGCAAAACACCGAGTTACAGCCCAGTCTCTGTCTATGCAGCAGAGTAAAAAAAGTCCTCCATCCTCTGGGATGTGCCCCTGCTGCCCCAGGCTCCTCATTCCAATGAAGTAAGATTCTCCCCTCATTCCTGAGGACACAAAGACGGACGCGTGTTAGAGTAGACATTGATTCCTTCACACTTGGTTCTAAGGCCACGGTTCTGGAGTGTGTGGGGCAGCGCAGGGGAGTGTGATTAGAAGCAGGGACTATGAGAAGGGGGAAGACCCAGAAAGTTCACATTACCCCCTTGATCTCTGAGTCACTATTTCCCATCCAGCTCTGCCTCCAGGCAACAATCCAGTCAGCTCTATGGTCAAAAAACCCCACTTAACCAAGATATGAATTGGAGGCTGGGGGCTCTAGCTCAGCTGCCCAGCATTTGCTAGATATGGGACCCGGGAAAGTTATATGAGCCTTTGCTTCCTTATGAAAATCAAACAGACTCAGGAAAGGCTTTGACGAGTTAGAGGATGAATTATATACCACTCCCACCACCACTACTACTAATGCCTGTCCTTTATCGAGTTCCAGGGACTGTTCCAAATGATCAACATGCATCAACTAACCTATTAAATTTTCACAATAGTCTGTGAGATTGGTACCAATGTTATCCCCATTTTACAGATGGAAAAACTGAAGAACAAAGCAAGGAAGTAACTTTTACTATGTCAATGATAAAACTGCAGGACCAGAATTCAAATCCAGAGAGTTTGGCACCAGAGCTCACTTCCCTGGACCACAGAAATGAAACAGGACAAAATCAGTACAAGTCTGTATTTCAGGAAGTACAATCTACTTCATCACCACCCGAATCCTCATTGTGGTAACTCTAATAGTTAATGGTTTACCCATAATGAAGACACACACACACACACCCTCTGCCTTCTGCCTGGCATGATTACTCTAAGTAATTTGTGAATCCTGGATTTTGAAAATAAGTACTATCTTGGCTAATCCACAGTATATAGATACAGATTCCCTCTCCTCATTGCCCCCATCACAGAACTTTCTAGTATTCATCTTACCTAGCTGTATTCATTCTATTATTTCTTCACTCCAACATTTCAAAATTCTACCCAGCTGCAGCCAGTTGGAGAGTTTTATCATTTTTTGATACTGACACATTGCAATAGATTTTATCAGTCTCCCCACATACTTTGAGGACAGTATCTACATTTTTCTTTTGTATCTATTTTCATGCCTGTCATGCTCAGTAATTAGAAGCCCTGAAGGTGAGATAATTTGTCCATGGGTACACAAGTGAGACCAAAAGACACCTCTAATGTGGCCGCTGGGTCATCTTCAGTAAGTTCCATTTCCCCAGTCCCAGCATTGCCGAGTACAGGACAGATGGGTGGGTGCCACAGAATATCTCTCTGCCCTCATGACGTTTGTTAGACCCAAATTCTGATCCCCAGACAAGTAGGGGTTCCCGTGTATATCTCTCTTGAACTCTGAATATATCATTCAGGTGATGAGGTTATGTTTTTCTGTTTCTATTTTTCCTAGAAACAAAGCCCAAGTGGGAACCTGATAAGCATCATTGATGGTAATATAAATAATGCATTTCATATAAAATCTTGGGTCTGGTTGGGACAGGAGGTAATAACTCTAAAAGCAGATCATTGTAATTGTGGTAAATAAAAATGTTATTCCACATAAAATATAATAGAACCATTCCTGTATTTTAAAGTTCTTAAAATTCCAATTAATACATTTGCTATATTTAAATCAACAAAGTATTTATTTGATTTGATTTTTTAATTTTTTTAAAGATTTTATTTATTTATTTGACAGAGAGAGAGAGCAGAAGCAGGGGGAGCTGCAGGCAGAGGGAGAAGCAGCCTCCCCGCAGAGCAGGGAGCCCAATCCAGGGCTCGATCCCAGGACCCTGGGATCATGACCTGAGCCGAAAGCAGACGCTTAACCAACTAAGCTACCCAGGTGTCCCAAAGTATTTATTTTAAATAAAAATATAGTACAGCTTTCAAACTTTGTTTTATTCTGTAATTAATCCAAAATATATGAATATTTGTAATTACAAATATTTGAATGCAATCCTTGTATTTGTTTTCCTTCATATTCATATTTATACTGTTGTTTCAAATATTTACTGTAATATGCATAATAACCATCATTTATTATTAGAGTACTAATTACTTTAATAGTAAGAATAATTACTAAGAGCATTAAAATAGTATAATTTTCATCAATGGATTATAGGAAACCTCTTTTTTTTTTTTAAAGATTTTATTTATTTATTTGAGAGAGAGAGAATGAGAGAGCACATGAGAGGGGGGAGGGTCAGAGGGAGAAGCAGGCTCCCCGCCGAGCAGGGAGCCCGATGCGGGACTCAATCCCGGGACTCCAGGATCATGACCTGAGCCGAAGGCAGTCGCTTAACCAACTGAGCCACCCAGGCGCCCCTATAGGAAATCTCTTAATAATGAAGTCAGAATCATCCAGTAGCATGAAGTATAGCTATTATGTGTCAATACTGATTTTATTTTTAATCCTGTCCCTCTTATTTAAACATTTTAAATTAATCAAAACTGATCCCAAAATGTTCCTAAATGTTTTCCGAGAATGTTTCAATTACTCTTTTTCCGAAGGAAATAAAAATCCATTGCTGAACTAATTAATTAAATAGATGGAATATTAAGCCTTACTCGGGGCTCATTTTAATCTACTCAAATAGCCTTAACTTCTGTTCTAAGCTGTAACAATACGATTATCTTCAAGAGACTTTATTTTAAGCTCATTACTTGCAGTAAAGATTTAAAAGGTGGATGCATTTTTGGCAAACAACCTATTCTACTTATATGGAGAAATATTTTAGAAGTCAGAGCTTTGTACAAAGGAACACTGATTTCTCTTTCCAGTCCCATTACTGAGTCAGCTCGTAATCTGAAGAAGTTAATCGATCATTCGATGACTCAGTTTATCTTTATAAAAGGAGAACAAAAACATCTCTCTGCCTCCCTTCCTCTGCAGAGGAGGAAGAGGTGGGGCAATGAAAGAGAAATGGAAGAACTGATCAACATCAGCATTAACCAGTACATAAAAGGATAAGTAATATAAAATGCTGTAAAAACACGACATTATGATAATCTCAGAGCAAGATTATTATGCTTTGGTATTACCACTAACCTTTAGCAAACGCAAGCAAAGAGAAAGAAAGGGAAGCTCTGAAGACCAAAAGAACTCCTAAAAAGAAATGTAAAGGTCCTAGAGAGCCCCAAAGAACTCGTTTATCTTTTTAAATTCATTTCAAAACTCTGAACTGTTGTAAAACAACTTTGAAGCAACCATTGTCTTTACATGTATGATTCTTACTTCTAAGTCTGAGGTTGGTCATCCGAAAGAGAAGAGCTGCCTTCAGCTCAAGAGGCACCTCTTCTGGGAAGGTTTCCCAACCTCCCCCTTGGCCCGTGAACATGGCCTCCTTCCTCTGCCCGCCCTGAGCGCCCTGCACAGCCTTCTCCCATGGATCATCCTGCACTGTGCTTACTGCTTTACTAGTCTAGGTGTCTCTCGAGAAGAGAGACTGACCTGTCTTCATCGGTGTATCTTCAGCCTGGTTCATATAGAAAGGCCTCAAAATGATGTTTGACGGAATTAATGAATTATGTAAAAAGGAGTCATGTTCAAAAAATAACAGACAAGCAAATGAGTTATAGTAGTCAACTTAAAATATATACATGAATGATACTTACTTCAAATGTATCCACTAATACCGAAAACAACCTACTCACTTCGATGTTAAGGTTAGATTTATAAAATGGAATTTTATAAATGGAAGATAGCAAGAACCACTCAAAGGATTCCTCTAGCTAAAATGAAAAATCTGCAGTGTGTAATTAAAATAACATTTATGTTTTTTAATTATACAAGTTCACTGAAGAAAAGAACTGAAAAATTCAGAAAGGTATTTTAAAAAGAAAATAAAAGCAAACCATAATCCTACTATCTGGAGAAAATTGTACTAATGTTTTGGTATATTTAGTTCTAGTGCTTTTTCACACATATAATTTCTGAAAAAAATTGGGATCCTGCTGTTTCGTATCCCAATTCTTTCTCGAAACATTGATAAAATCAAGAGCAGTTCCCTGTACCATTATACATTCTTGGAAAACACTAATTTTAATAGACACATAGTATCCCAGTATATGGATCTGTCATAATTTATTTAGCCATTCTTCTGTTATTTGATATTTAGAAAGCATAAATTTCCATCATCATGTGCATCTGGTAAAGGAAAACCATTATTCACTATTAAAATATAAAGGGTCCCCTGGAAGAACCTCAAAACTTCTTCACATGCAGAGAAGACACATCTTTATGAGATGCTGGAAGGGGCCCCACAGGGACACTTAGGCTCCACTCCTTCTCAATGTTGTGTGCCTTCTGGACTGTGGTCTTCACATCAGCAAAATGGAGAAAGAACATGACTTTGTCTATCTTATGGTCAAGTATGACCGTCAAACGAGATGAAGCACATGAATGTCTTTTGAAGCCTCCAAAATAATATGTGAATTAAAGCTATTTATTACTCCTTCTCGGCTCATCCAGAGCAAGGCAATAGCAGAGGAACCTGGCCCTATGGAGGTGGTTGCCATCCCTACTGTTAAGTGTGTGAACACGTGAATGTCCATGAGGGTTAAGCCCATATCATTAAAATGAGAAACGAATAGAGCTGCTGCTCCAATATTTGGTAGGAGTGTGGCTGGTGACTCCAGTAGGAGGGAATGATGGCTGTAACACAAAAGGGAGCAATTAAAATAGAAAACAAACAATCCTGTCCCTCCCAAACACCACTAACAACACATAATGGTTATAATCCTACAAAGTTAGTAGCAATGAGAATATAAATGCTTGAATTTGACTCATTTTAATGAAGGAGGAAGCTTGAAGACAGGAAGATTTTTCAACTATTTCACTATTTTGCTATAATGTGAAAATGATTTTATCCAAGATCCTCAGATAACCTTATAGCACTTATTAATTAAACATTAAAAGATTTGAAGATGGTACAGCTCCTACTATGAAGACTAGTCACCTGAAACTTAAAGATGCCTATAGTATC